AACCCCAAACCCAGTTAATATCTACAGTGGTTATATTTTAGAGAGCCAGTAGGGGACTTGTGCATGATCCTTTTTTTTTTTTTTCTGAAGAAGTGGTCACCTCAGGAGAGACAAGATGAGATCTTTGGCTTCATTGAAGCTACAATTTGGATTTAAATCACTGAAATTTACACCGAGTGTTCTTGAGGATGATGTCCTGTACAATACTCGGATAAAGCAATTTCAGAGGCAAGTCTAGAAGTTTAAGAATCTCTGTAGTATTTCATTATGTTCATCAATATGATTTAGTAGGTTATTGCAAAGAAGTAAAATATTTTAAAGCTTATGCTATTTACCTTCAGGATTAAACAAGATAAACAGCTTACAGTATTCCCATTTGCACACGTCACAGTATTTTTAAACTTGCAGCTTGTAATTCTGGGTTGGTTATCAGGGAATGCAGTTAACCTAAATGTTTTATTGTGGCTTGTTTCTGATATGTCTCAGTGTAATTCTCAAAAGAAAATGTTTGATCCATAAGCCAAAAAAAATAGCTTTAAAATTTATTTAGGCAGAAGGCCTTTTGTTATTAAGCGTACTTTGTTTTTCTGGACAGCACAGGAGAAACAACATAATGGTGTGTAGTAATTAGTTTGCTCAGTAGGTATATGCTTTTCTTCTTGAATTATGCATTTTTAGTATTTTAGGAGCAATACAAAGTAGATTATGAGTTCTGAAGGTATGGATTTCATATGCTTTGGCAGTAAATTTAGTTATTACATTTAAATATGCTTTTGGTTTTAGTTTGTATATAAAGTGTGAAGTGTTGAGTGTTGTTAACAGTGTTATGAACCTGCTTGCTTTAAAATGGGTGCTTTTTTTCAGTGGCCTCATATAATAGGAGATTTGGTTTCCTGGTATTTGCGAATATTTCTGGTAGTGAAAGAGGTAGACATTCCTTGAAGGATTTAAGTAATATATTGTTTGTCACTGTTAAGTTATTTTGGGAATGAATGGATAGCCAGTGACGATTTCCACCCACTCTAGCTGCATCTTAACAAAATACCTATATTCTTTTTTAATCATCTGTTTCTAGGATTGGGTAGGTAAAACCTAGATGTTTTTTTGTTTGTTTGTTTGTTTGTTTTTGTTTTGTGTTTTTTTTTTTTTCTCCCAGCAAACAATCACATTTAAAATACAAAATTGTGCCAGATTGACTGATTTAGGTGTTGCTTTTTTTTTTTTTTTAATGCTCTTCTCTCTAATCAATAGCAAGAAACAGGTTCAGAGGGTAGTCCAAAGATCTTAGTATAGCGCTGCCTCTCTTTCCACATCTACCTTGTGGGGATCCCGTCACAGTCATTGTTTTTGTATTACAACATTACAGTTTGAGCTGAATTAAGTGCTTGCTTCAGAATAATTTTTGCTGCATCAGTAAAGTGAATAGGCTTCCACTACTATTTGGAAAGTACTGACAGGAAGAGAGAGGGCAGGATTTACATGGATGACCGTGAAGAAGGAAGACATGGTGGCTGGAGCCAAGCATTTTCTTACTGGTGGGAAACTGTTCCTTAACCCCAGAACTGGTATGAAACTTTGTCCTAAGTGCCTCAGGTGCCTAAAGATGAATAGTGTGATTTCCCCCCCTTCAACTTATACAATTTGGTCTTTAATATATAAGCAAGAAAACGTGCACATTTTTCTTCATTCTTCACTTGTGCTTGCAGGTGCTAAGCATGAATTAAAATTCCAGTCATGTGAGTAGTAGTGATAGTATATTTTAATATTGAAATAGGTTGGTGAATGATCTGTTTTTATTTTATGTCTCTTGGCAATTTCAGAAACTAGGGTTGCAAGGACAAATAAAAATGATCTGAGTTTTATTATGAGAACCTGGTTCTTAAAATATACACACTCCATGATAAAATAAGCCTAGTGAAGATTTGAGTGTATATGACACCTGCAGTTGATGTTCATTATTGTCTTTTTAATGACATTACACAATAGCATTAAATTAGTTGAAAATTTACATCTTTACATGATTGGATTGCCATATCTGTTCTTGGTAACTGAAATAATATCTTAATTCAGAGTTTGTTTACTGTTTTTGCTTACAAGATAGAATGTTAGTTCTCTATTTTACTTGTGTATTGAGAATTATTTTCTTGGGTTGCTTGACATTATTGCCAAGTTTTATGTCAGTTTAGATAACCTGTTGAAGATCTTATTTTAGGATATAACTGCTACAAGTTGTGTGTAGTGCCATGGGCTGGTTTTCATGGAAGGTGATGCATCACTAGCTAAAGAAGTATGTAGGGATGGACTGTGTCAAATTTTGTTTGCTTAACTTGAGGTTTCAAGATGCTAATCTTAGGGTGCAAGTGCTGAGGATGTTTTGAAAATCAGCCTTAACAGTGTTGGCTGCAGAGACATGTTAGTAGAAATAATACCCCAACAGTGTCTGAAAACCTTATAGTATAGATTCTGGTAAACATTTTTAAGAAACAGTTGGAGGGGAAGCAAAGATGGTGTATCTATAAAATATTGGTAAGCCAGCTTTATATTAACATAGTAGGATAGCTTTCCCTTTCCTGTGGCTAAGCAGTACCTTGCTCTCAGTCTTTTTATGCCAATGTAAATGAATCTATCCTGGACTATTTAAGCTACATTAATGCTTTATGTCTCAATCTAGGTAGTGTACTGGTGCCTCTTCCAGTTGTACATCAGACAGAACTAACATATACGGGTTATGAAACACAGGTCTGAAACACAGACTTGGAAAGGAGTCATGTTGACTGTCCTCTACAGGGAATAATCTCCTCGCGGCACTGGGTACACAGAGCTTCCAGTAGTAGGCTATTTTAAAAAAAATAAATAAAAAAAAAAAGTCTTTGTTACTTAAGGATGAAAAAAACTTCAAACCTTTGATAAAGCACAGGAAGCGAAATTGTTGACAGAGAAAATTCCTTTTCTGCCTAGTCACTTTTATGAGAAGAGCCACACCCCAAAGGTAATATCTTTAACTGTTAGTGGATCCTAGTGACATAATAGAACTTTTTTCCTTTGTATTCAGAGGTTTAAAAGGGATAAAGAAAATTATGTGGGTTAATATCCTTTCGGAGTTACTTGTGGTAGTTGCCCCATTATTTCTGTTATGTTCTAATTTAAAAATATTTGTCTCTGATCATAGGAGGCTTCAGAAAAGTAACATGTTCCATTTTGTGCAAAAGTAGTTTTTATGATGGTCCTTTCATCTTGTTTAACTCCTGACAAAGCTCCTTCCACAGTGTGCACAAGCCTTGCTTTTTCTGCTAGTTAGTAGTAGTATTCCAGTTGAATTATCATGGCTCTTTATCATAAAGTCTAGGAAGCTTTTTGATTAAGCAGATTGAAATATAGAGAAGCTGCACTGTGCTTTACAGCATAAAGGTGAACATTCATTTTTAATGATGTCTCTTTCACCTCCTTGGATGAGTAGCTTTGCTGTGTTTTTGAGCCAAACCTTAGGGTTAGCAGTGGTTTTGTTGGGTAGTAAAGGGGACAAATTCAGGTGTTAGCGGTGGGGGAAGGAGTGCATAGCTAGGACCAAAGGAGAGCTTTACAGGTAGGGAATGGTGTTCTGTCACACTGCATCCAGAATTGGATATTACTGGAGTGTGTTCTTGTGAAATACTGGGAATCTGGTAGGGTTTTTGTTTTGGTTTTAAGCCAGAGAAAGGCCTAGGGGTTGTTTTAGGGCTTTTCTGTCTGTGCTATCAACAATATTTTGATCTTAAAAGTCAGACATCTGTGTTTATGTAGTGAAACACAGTGTATGTAATTCTGCTCTTAGATCCCTGTACTGCAGGTTTTCTTTGAGAGGTGCTGCATATGGTATTATTCATGATAAATGCTGATTATGTGATTATGTATTCCAAGGATAATTAAACGTTTTGAACTTTAGTAGGCCATAGGGATGTATCCAGGTATCTTTTTTTTTTTTTTTAATTCCAGTCATGAAATGCTGTAGATTGAATAATATAATACAATACAGAAAAGCTAGAGATGATTATTCGATGGTGCTCAAACCCACGCTCTGCAGCATCAAAACTTTTATGACAGAGAAGATTGAACTGAGGCTAAGAAATGTTTCAGGTATCCTAACACATTGTCTTGTGATACTAGTTTAATCTTATCCATGGCTCTGACAAAATTTTTCAGAATGGAGTGCTGGTCTCAGAATTACGCTATGAAATGCCTTGTACTACTACTATTTTTTTTTTTTTTTTAATACCTTGAAGTTTATGAAAGTTAAATACTGGGAATACCACTAATAAGGTTTAAACTGCCTAAAGGCAAAGAACAGTTTTTCTCCTTAATTTTCAGTATAGTTTTGTTATATTTTTTGTTCATCACTGTTTTGAGAAGTGCTGTGTTTCCTAAAAAACGTCAGTAGAGAACATCACAAGAGGCATATTATGTTGTTGGACACTTTTATCTGCATAAGTCTTTGCAGCTTACCTGGTTTTTGTCCTTGTCTTTTGTAGTAATTTGGATGCTACTAGAAATGATTAATACTTGAATTTTAGAATTTTTTTAAAATTTAATTTTAGATTTTTTTTTAAGAGCTGTTAGAATAATTTTCATATGCCTTGCTCATCAGATGACAAAGCTGTTGTCTTTGGTGTTATGTCAAGCATCCAAGATCAATGAGTAGCAAAGTGGCAGTTAGTCACAGAATCTTATTCTCAGCCTAGGTTTTCCTTGCTCTTTTCTGTCTTTCCTACATATGTGGTGCAGAAATGTATTTACTCAAGTAATTCCATGAGATTAGCTGTAAGAATTTGTATTGCTGTAATGAAAATTAAAACTTGTAGCTTCTGATCTGTAAATTTACTGTCTTAATTTTTTGTTTGATTTTTTTAAAAATAATTCACTTTGAAAGGATCCTGGCATTTCAGTATGCAATAATATATTTAGGGCTATTAATTTTTTTTACAGTATAACACAATGTGTAATAAGGGCTTTAATTTTTTTCATAGTTCCTGTTTGGAACTCTGCTGGTGTGTATGCTTTTAATAGCACTGACGAAGGCTGGAGTGTTCATCTGAAAAGTATGTATTTTAAACTAAGTTCAAAATTGGTTATGTGTATTTCTTACACTTACATATTTTCGTAGAATGGGAAAACTGTTTGAAAACAATAGTAGATTGCCCTGTAGAATGATTTAGTTCTGTGTCATTTTGAGACATTACTTAGAGACGGCCTATCTATTATATGGAAATCTTTTTAAATGTTGAAAGTTTTTAAAAATGTGGTGTGCAATCTAAATTGATAAAAAGAGAACATGATCTATAGTAAATGTTAGTTAAATTCATAGAAAATAGAAAGGCAGTTTATGGATAGAAGGACATTATGACCCCATAGAAAACAGAAGGTACTTAGGATTATAATAAGCATTAGTAGGCTTTTTGTACTATAGGCCTTTGCATATTTTGTTTAAGAGGTCTGGAAGTAACTTTAATAGATGTGATCTATTTTTAGATTTAGTTTGACTTTTGGACTGTTGAAAATCCTGCTTATGAAGTATTTGGAACTGTTTTGAAAGATGCAACAAAAGTTTCAGGTATTTATTTAGTGAAACATACACATATATTGAGAGGAGGAGATTAAAATTGCAATTTTATGGCTGGGTGAAATTTGTACATAGCAAATGAGATGTAAAGAAATGCAACTATATTTTCCTCACGCATGTTCTGTAAGCAGTTTCTGCAGTTATTTCTGTTGTGCAGTTCATGATTAGCAAATGTACACTGGGCATGTTATAAATACATATCTGGCATATCAGAATGTGATTTATACTGTGTAGATCATAAATACTTTATTCAGTATTTTCACTGCTCATTACACAGAATTGTCTAGCAGCACTTGAGAGAGTAAATGAATTCTCTTAAGACCTAAATGCTGTCATCAGCAATATCTACATCTTTACATTCTTGACTGCATGGGCCGTACATGGACCACTTTTTGAAATAATCCACTGTATGAATAAAGAATATTCAAGTCTTTGTTGTGCTAAAGTAGTTAAATACAAGCACTAAATCAAGTAAAAATACTGTTCTTTTTGGTAGTGAAACTGTTTCTCAAGTTTAGACATCCTGTCTCAAAACAGCAGTACTAATCATTTAGTAGGGTTAAAAGAGAAAGTTGCTTTTTAACAACTCTTTGTAATTAGTCAAAGTTAATTGTTTATTTTAAAGGGGGAAGTGAACTTGCTTTGTATGAAGTGGTGTGCAGTGCTAAAATTAACCGGATCTGTAGCATGTGATGTACTGTTTATCAAAATGATGCACTGTAATTTAGGATCATATCTGAATTATAAACGAGGTTTGAGGATTTTTTTTACAAAAGGTAGTGCCTCCCTAGGAGTATCTGGGAATGGCATTACTGTCCTGGGGGGTGTAAGGCTGACAGGGCTTGGGACATGGCGGGGGCCAAGCTCTTCATAGCTTGGCTGTCTCAGGGAGAGTTGACATGGCCACCGCCGCTCCCCTTCTGGTGGCTCCAGCAGGTGCATTCTTTAATGATAAAACTAGCTTGCTACTTCAGAGCTCAGAAAAGCATCTTAAATTGCTGCATTAAGCCTCTTCTTTCTAAGACCAATATTTGGTAAATTACTGTGTTCCCATTCCTGTCTGTATTCTCACTAACTTGGTCATTTGGTTTTCCAAGTTGGCAGACATACAATATATAAAGACTTAATGCTGGTACAAGATAAAGGTTTCTGTCTCTAGGGAAGTGATTAGTTTGAGAATTTTGTGAGCTACAGGGGAATGAGCGTTCATTTTCAGGGTGACTATTTCACCTGTTTATGCTGTATCTGTTTAAAGAATAAAAAGAAGCTGTGGTTTAAGAGTAAAAAAATCTTTGAAGTGAATATGTATTTACTGTTCCTTCCAGAAGTCATTACTGATGAGATTATGTACCAATATGGATGGGATCCTTTTGTGGTAAGGTATTTCTGTAGTTAACTCCACCTGCCCGTATAAAAGCCAGTAAATCTATGTGTCCTGACATTTACTTTTAGTTTATAAAGATGTAACGTGAGGCACAGACAAAAACCTTCCTTTGGTACGCTAAAAAGAGTTCTTGGACTGAGGATTTGTGCCTGGCATTATCCCCTGCTATTCTACAGTTGCAGCAGAAAAACTGATTGTAAGCCAGCTCTGGTGGCACCGGTAAATGTCTTGACTGTCTGGATAGATTTGTGTGTATTCAGTACCAGGCTGTTCTGAAGCTGAAGAAACTTGAGTAGATTCCTTTTTTTCCCCTGTTGCACTGTACACGAGGTTGCAAATAAAGGTAGACTTTTGAAAAAGTCAGTGGGAAGTGGCCATGTGTAACACTAACTCCACCTGCTTTAGCCTTGTCCCCAAGCTGTGTGTTCCATGCAGTGTGCTGGTCATGAGGCTGGAGTAGAAAGATGGCCTCTTCCATCGCCTGATGCTCCAGGGCAGCTTTCCTTCTCTGCAGACTTCACCTGAAGGAGAATTCCCATAGTAGGGCTGCAAACAGGGTGGTAAATACACAGTCCTTTTTCCTCTGGGTGGTAGCTTAATTTAATGCTGTTGAGAGGAGTTCATGATTAGTCATCTCTTTCTATTACGTCAGTTATTTGCTGTGAAGCTATCTGCTTTATATGCTCATTGACCTAAGCATAAATGTGTTGAACTGCTGTTCATCAAACATGTACGTTCCAAAAAATTGCACATTTTCAATTTGTCCTCCGAGATGCTCTGCAAAGTACATGTAATGTTTACATAATGAAGGGAGATGATTAGGTCTTTCAGTTGACTTGGTGACTAAATTAGGTAAATCTCACAGAGGATACTTTGACACTGGTCATAAATTAAGTGATCACATGAAACCTGTTAATTACAAGCCTAATTAAATAAGAAACATTTATTCTACACTTACCCCTCATATCCTCATCGTGTTTTACTAAATGTCAGTTAGGATAATACATAATTAATATTGAAATAATAATAATTAAAACTTTTTCAACAGTTTCTCAAGTATCATCATAAATTGTGAAACAAATTATGTCAAACCTGTAAGTCATAACAAAACAAGCTGCTTTTTGAGCTTATTGAGCTATCTTAAGGAAACACATTCAATAAGAACTTTTGCTGGTGGTTTGCAAAACATGAACTGCAGTAGACATGGAATTTTAGAAGTAGTTTGTTGAGCAGTAGATAGAATAATACAGTTTGATAGTAGTAGGAAGACTTAGATCCTTATTCTTGCTTTTATTTTACTGTGAAGACTGAGTATTTGAGTATGAGGGGTTCGGGATGTTACTTACAACTAGATGTGGTTTTACTACACCTGAGAATGAAAAATGTAGCAAGGCTTCTTGCTAGTATAAAAGGCAGTATCTGTGCTTCGATTCTTTGCCTACTCTTATTTTTTTGATGTTTAGTTTGCTCTGTAGTGCTGTGAAGAAACTATAATAATGTATATTTTAAAGAGATGATACAAGATGTAGAGTATATTTCAATTTTTCAGAAATCATCAGATTTGGCTTAAAAAGTTAACTTGACCTCTGCTTATACCAGCTGCATTGGGGTGGCACATGGTGTATAGCTAAGTTTAAGAGTCTTTAGATTCCAGTTAGGTTTTTTTCTCAAAAGCTGTGTTCCTTCTACCAAATAAGAGTTTAGTTTGACCGACTATATTTTGATATTTTGCATCATCTTCTGGGATACATATGAGCCTGTAAAATGTTAATTTTCTTTATATTAGAATTTCTAATCAACTAAAAATCTCTTCTGCTTGGCTTGCTTTCTTGTGTCTTACATTGTAATGTTTGAATAGTAGGAGCTAACCTAGTCTGGAAAGAAGCAGGATACCTGGTTTATGCAACTCTGTTGTAACAGAGTTGTGCAACGTGCAGAGAGTATGTGTAACAAGAATAGGCTTAAAAAGCACTGAGCCCAACCTTTCTTTGATTTGTAAATCGGATTTGAATGTTTAATACAAATTTAATGATAAATATATACTTGAAAAAACAATCAATGTTAGTTTTATTAACCCTGTAGATATGAGATTCTTTAATGGAATGATAGATATTTTTATTGTGGAATCTTGTTGGAGTGATCAAGAAGTGTGGAAGATGGACGTGGGAGAAAGGACAACTCATAGATCAGTCAGTGTCATCTCTAGGGCATCCTGACAGTATGCGTGTCTGAGATTCAGCATGTGAACTCTACGTTTTTTTCCCTCTGATGTCTAATATGGGACAAGTAGTAAATTTCATGCTAATTTTAAAATCTTTCAAATTCAAAATTTAGAGCTTTTTCTCATGGGTTATTAGGTAGCTGTCTATTTAGTTACGTCAGCTCAGAAGTTAAATGTGCAAGTATGTTAATTTGTTCTCTTCAGGCATCACTTTATCAGGTGCAGTATAAATGTATTGGCATGAGTCCTGTTCTTTACATGAGTCTAAGATCTTGTATGTGTGTAGGCACACAAGCTGCATGTAGTTATGTTTGTATGTTCAGTATTTTTTTCCTAGTCTCTAACACTTTGTAAAGTTCTTTAAGCTTATTCCAGGTACAGTCTGATTCTTGGGAAGGTAGTTGATCTGTATCTACAGAATATGTTCCATGTGGGAAGCGTATGATCTTTGTTAAGGAGCTGATTAGAGTTCATGGAAGCATGTCATAGGGAATTAGGTGTTGGGAAAAGATACCGCCATGCTTGGTTTGTTTCAGATTTGCATCGGTAATGTTTGAGTGCCTTTGCTTTTTTGCTGTCAAAATGTCATTATTTGGATCTTTCCCAATGTTTTTATTCAAGTGATAGGAAACAGAAGGAAAGGAACTAATTGGTATGAGTCTGGAAAACATGCTCTGAATATACGTACAAGCATTTGTGCTTTCTTATCCAGATTTCCAACGTGTGAGATATGTCATGGCAGAAGCATCATCCCAGGAATGTAGTTAGAGCTCTTTAGGAGTCCAAAACATATTTTCTCCCTTATTGCCACTGAAGGAAAGTGCGGGTATTTCTCTCCTTATTCTTACTCTCTTAAATGCTTGCTTTATAATGA